GTTGCCTCCAACGCCGCCTCCCTTTCGTGCGACCCACGTCTTCGTATCGACCATATATAAAGTTTAAAACCAAAATTTCAGGGCCTATTAGTTAATGGGCTTCGTCTTGTCCCAACACCAGTAGAAGCGAATGTGCGAATGTAAAAACAGCACCTTATAATTAGAGCGTACCGGTAATTCTGAAGTAGGGAGTTCGAGCCTTACGAAATGTGAGACATTTACTTGATGTGTTCAATATCGGTGAGTTGATGCTATCTAGAGTATGCTATCTAATTCGTAGACCGATTGTTCAATGGTTTTCGGATCAGTTCCAGGCAAATGCCCACGTGACACCCTATGCAACGGACCAGGGATCATTCCCAACATTTCCTTTTCATTTACTTCCTGTTATCGTCACACTGTTCGGCATCCCAAATCGGACTGGTGCTCTGTAAGACAGTTTGTCCCGCCCCGACCCAAACGATCACAACCGGCAGGCAGCATTGCAGACCGTACATCATCGGGACTAATGCTAGGAAGAAGAAGAAGAAAAGAAGAAAAAAATTATGGAATTCTACAATATTGAAATCACATCTTATGATATGCAATTATATCTATACAAATATCTAATAATAACTCTATGAATTATTTTGTGTTTAATGTTTATTTTTTATTTATGATATATGTAATAAAATGCGTTCATACATCCTTTTCAATAATTTTTAAATAGAATTCATGTACATCATTATAAATTAGAGGCAACAATATTCCGAAAAATCACAAGGGAGAGAGAATTTCTAATTAAATGTTACAAGCATTTTTCTAATATCGCCAGAGCTCATATCACGCCATATCTATCTCCGTTACAGGACCACTTCTATATCACCCAGTTTGTGTATTCACAATGTACACCAGCACACATCAACATTGCTTTCCGTTTTTCAAAACCGCCGATAAAGACTAGACCCTTCCATGTAATTTCTTATGCTCCAACATTGCTAGTCCAAAACAAAACCAAACACACTACAGTAAATATTTTATGTACGAAGTGTAGTTTCCAAGAATTTACAAATTCAGAATATGTATAGTATTGATATATGACGTTAATGTAAAATAATTTGAAAAGTAGAAAAGGCCAATGTCATTTTTTCTGGTGGTAGGGTTACTGAATTACCTTATAATTAAAATATTGATTAATGAAATATATGTATGTATGTATTGTGAGTTTTCTAAATTAAAAAAAGAAGTATTGGTAAAAAACACATCTAATAGATTGTTTTCTTAAACATGAAATTTCTGAAAACTGACGAGGTGTTGTAGGCAATGTATTTTGCGAACCCCTGCAACGCATTGAACCCGCTCATTCCCTCCGCTTTGCGCCTTGAGTTCATTATGAACTCATTAGCGTGTTACTTCTCCTGCGGAGCCTTCTGCTCATTGTCCCGGCCCGCGGTACCTCCCGTGCGTTGCCTCCAACGCCGCCTCCCTTTCGTGCGACCCACGTCTTCGTATCGACCGGATGTTCTCCTCTGGCGTGACGTCACTTCCTCGCATCGCGCGCTCCCGCGTTTGCCGCCGGCTCCCGCCCTGCCCCTCCGCCCTTCCGTCCCTTAACTTCCTTTCAGAAGGACTAACTTTGTTCCCTTCCCTTCCCTCTCCGATTTTTCGCCCCCTTCTGCTTGCCAGCGACTGCCTCTGCCTCTGTTGACTTCATGACTACCCGCCCCAGGCCTGCTGGAATTCCTACGAGAAAAACGTCCCGCTTTCTCCTTGGAAGGGAAACGTTTTAATAAAACTAGAACACAGACAATGTTACTAGTAGGTTGTCGTATTCGGAAGGTGCTTAAGTTTTTAAATTATGTCACAACCACGGACTCCTATTAAATTGCACTAGATTAAGTGTTTTAAAGTGGTTTAGTCACCGCACAATTTCGAGATTGATCATGACTAGTTTTTTAAATACAAAATGTGAGTGATTTTATTTTATTATCATAGAAACAACCAAAGAAATATAAACTCTGACTGAATATTTTACATATATGTATGCATAAACTTCGGAACAACAGCTCTTCGCAAGCTAAAGCCTACCAGCGGAATCTCGGCATTGTGGCCATGGATTAAGGGTTACGTATGGTTAGCACATAGACATCCCTACGCCGTATTTCTGGTCTTCTCCACCTGAGAAGTGAGCTTTTGCATCGTAACACAGCAACAGATACTGGGACTTTGGAAAGACAACGCACAGCTAATTTTTGCCCTGACTCTTGAGTTGCGCTGTGAAAAGCGATCACGCAAACCAACGAATATTTTACATATTAGAACTAAACCTTTAATTAACCATTAACGTTTTTTTATTGTATTATATTTTAAATGTAAGAAGAAAAAATATTTTTCTTTGATCCACCATACTCTCAAATTTATTTTCTTGTTAGACGGTTTGCGTTAATCACCATTAAAGCTTGTATCCTGTTGTAATTTTCAACATAATTATAATACTTAATATTTTCCTAATGTTGTCTAATGTAGTGAATAATATAACTAACTGTAATAAAGCATTTGCTATTATTATTTATTATATTTTATTGTTTGTTAATTTGAACATGTACCTAATTTTTTTGTCAATTTTTTCAGCAACAAGTGGCAGCTTAAATTCTTTGAAACACTTTTTTTTGTATTTTGAAGAATTTACATATATTTATCATATCATTGTGAAAATACCCGAATTTTGCAAGTCCAATTTTATATTATTCGTTTGTGCTTTGTTACCTTTCTTGAGAATAAAACAGTGCGTAAATTAAAAGACATAAGTATAAAGCATTATGAGCAAAACCGGCTTAATATATAGTACCAATTTTCCCCACTGCGACAGGTAATGAAATTTGTGGAACACACGAGGATACGCGTGGTAAAGATAATAAGAGTAATTGCTTGGCGTGTGAGTTTTCAAGTTGGTTTCTGGTGTGTCCTCATTAAAAACATAAATCAAATATGACTTCTGGGCTGTCCGGGTGACGCCGCGTCCTTGGCAGAGAGGCCGACGTTTCTCCTGTCATATAGCAGGCTTCTTCAAGGTAGTGACACAGTAATGCTCCGTTCGCCGTGTTATATCTTTTCCAGCCTAACGTCATCCTCTCTGCCATCGATACGGCGTCACCCGGACAGCCCAGAAGTCATTAACTCGACGCGGAAGCCTACGTGTACATAAATCAAATATTTCATCTTGATATTCATATACCTTTGTATGATAGCTTTATTATTCATACAAAAATACTTTCGTTTATTTTGTTACCTCACAATTAATATTTAAAACTGCCGAGTAGTAAATTTAACGAAAAAATATGCTATTAAATATTATTTTAATACTTAAGAATACACAGGTGAAGTATTACGGTACTGACAATACTACTTACAAAACTCATTTTTTTTCGTTCGAAGAAAGTCTTATAATTAAACTGCTTACGAATCACTTGCCAACCTTTATATTTTCCTAAGCCGAGTCGGCGCTGTCAGAATGCGCTTTAATTCCATGAACTGTGCACTCTCTTGACCGCGTGCTGTGTGCGCAGGTTGGGAGACTTGCTGTACGGCGCCAGGCCATCCTTGGACTTCGCAGGCTCCTTCCACAAGAGGGCGTCGGCCGCGAGCCAAGTGACCGTCGCCATGTTGCCGGAAGCAGAACAAGAGACGAACGACGGCCGTGTTGGAGAGCTCAAGGATACACCGACAGAGGTCCCATGTGCGCTGATTCCGGCAGAAGCGAACGCAGTTTAGTACAGAGAGCCTAAATTCACAGCTCTGCGCAGGACATATCAACTCCCCATTGAAAATGTGGACAAAATGCCACAGTGTAAAGATAGGGGTACTTGTGTAGCCGGTTGCGGCTTAATGTAAAGTATGTCGTCTATAAACAAGAAAAACGTTGCATATTTATGGGAAATACAAAACGCGCGAGAATCAGTTGATTATAATGCCGTATTAACCTGAAAGAACCACGGCTGTATAAAGCGTAGCCCATAAAGCCTGGCCCAAGGGACTTCTCAGTAGCGTTGGCTGCATCTGTCTTGTAGTTCCTGAAAGAAGGTCGCATCATACTATCAGCGCCTCCACCCGATTATATGGAAGTTAAAAGGCTATGGCTTTGTGATGTTGCTTCCAAGCTAATGTAAGCGATGATAACACGCAGTTCGGCAAGCGTGCTACTTTTTTGTGGAGAAATTGAGTGACATTCGATGCTGTGTGTACCGCATAAGTTCGACAAAATCGATCTCTCGCGAGAAATTACGTGTATATGTTTGTGGAAAATTTATTGTTTGTAGTATTATTGTATGCTTGTGGTATTATTATTTGACGTTTTTTTTGTTTGTAAAGTTTAAGGCTTTCGCTAGATATGGTGTCATAAACTGGATATTCTTCGTAAAAACGAGCAGAAAAAATATAAATTGGCCTGCTGGAAAAGGAAGTGTTAAATACTTATAATTGCATCCTTGAAGAACACGTTACTTTGCAAAATATATGTTTCATATTATAAGAATTACTATATAAAAATGTTCGACTTCGTTGTTAATGTTTCTAATGGAATATGGTCTTAATATGTTTGATGAAATGTAAATCTATTTTCCTTTTGTTTATAAACACATTTCATTATTTTGAAAAAAAAGTTAATAAATATTGAGTTGATGTTGAAATTTCATAATCTTCATAATCACTAAAAATTGAATTAGCTCATTATATAATACTAGATAAGTTGAAACTGAAAAAAATACCATAAAACTCAAGTTAAACATTCAAAATCACCAAGGAAAATTAAAAGATCCATATTCGTTAACAATGAATTAACAGGATACAATGTGATTCGTCTTATGTTTTAGTTTACGGTAACCCTGCGGGACGTGCTTTAGTAAACATAATTCGAGCACACGCGGTGATCTCTCAGATGTGTCATTGTAAGTTTAGCTCTGGCTTCATAAACTGGCAATTTAATGTTTCAGACTGAAACACATACATGAAATACATTTACTAACATCGAAATTATAAAGGTTATTTTACTACAACATTTATCAAGGAAAATATTTACTTTAAAAAGTTGTATCATTTGTAAATGTACGAAGGAAACGCCCTGACCTGCTCTATGATGCGCTACACACTGTTTGATTGAGATTATTCTGGTGATGTCAGCATAAATTCTCGTGTCACGAACTGGAAGCTATGACATGTGAGAACAATAAGAGAGAGGTTTTGAGAAGGACGGTGTTCTCGAAAAATTCTATGACTATCAATGCAAGAACAACTCGGCCATCTGAGAGATGGACTGCGTGTGTTAAAAAATCCCTTAGCAGTCGCATACCAAAGGCCGCGGGGAGGGGGGCGGTCAACGTGGGACCCGAGGGTCGTTTGTTTTCCAATATTTATTAGGAAAATAATTACTTACTCATCTTTTGGGGTGTTTATTGTATACTATTCGGACATTTATGAACCCTATGTGATAATTTCATCTTTCAACGATTATCGGATATCCACAAAAAAATTGGAAACCGTTACCATGCGTAATTGCTTCATGAGAACCCGACCATTCTCCTATAGTCAGGCATGTCCAACGCCCATTAACATCTTGCTATCATATATTAGAATCTGTCGATTTACAGAACAGTTATGCAACTTGAGCAAAATAGTTTGTTAAACTGGTTCTTCAAAAAATTGTCTATATCACCGTGAAAAGGACCGTTGGTATATAAAATATATATA